CTCAGGCCTTCAAGTGATTGGCTGAGGTCCACCCACATCAGGGAGAGTGATCTGCCTTGCTCAAAGTCCACTGATTTAGATGTTAATCTCACCCAGAAACACCTTCAAAGAAACATCCAGGAAAATGTTTGGCCAAGTATTTTGGCACCGTGGCCCAGCCAAGAGGACACACAAAACTAACCATCATGCTTAACCAAAACAATGTAGTGATGACCCAAATTGAAACCATCTATATTAAAATAATGTAGACCCATAAGTTATAAATAGTGATCAAAGTCTGATTTTCTATACAAGTATAGACATAGCCAGAAGTTGACCAGCCATTGTTCCCTAACTTCCTTACCACTGTAACTGGTTACTGCTTAATGGCACCATCCTCCTTGACAAGTGCAAGATTTGTGACTTCCCCACTACTTCTACAGATAACATTGCCATCGTAAAGCCCAACACTTGTGTTTCTCTAGATAACATTACTATTGTAAAGCCTAAGACTGGTCTTTGAAGTATTTTCCAGACTCTTCACTCCGGGGGTACCCACTGACGCCGTCCGGACCAGTGGATAGACGTGAGAACGGATACAACAGCCTTGAGAACCCCTACCCAGGAAATCTCCCAACTGAGAAGATAATCTGCTCCCCGACCCAAGGAGTTCATCCCCCACCAATTAGCAGACCCAATTTTCTAGCCCTTTGCCCACCAAACTATCTTTAAAAACACTTTCTCCCAAATTCTCGGGAAGATGGATTTGAGAAATTCTTCCCATCTCTTCCCATGGTGCCTGCGTTATTAAACTCTTTCTCTGCTTGTAAACTCTGCTGTCTCAGTGTATTGGCTTCCTTTGAGCAGCCAGCAATGAACCTGGCTGGGTTATAACAGAATCAAATTTAATAACAAAGGCCAAACTAGAGTGACCTGTTTGCCTTTTGAATTGTATCTTTGCAAGTGAAGGAGAATGAGCCACAGAATGTTCCTTACGCTGAGGATGGGAGCATCATGATATCATGACAATCATATTATCAAGAGAGGATTTTCCAGAGGAAGGGAGGGAGTAAAGGAGGATGCAAAATGCCTGGACTGGGCACGAGGTTGTGGTTAACCCCGGTGAGAGCAGAGTCAGCAGAAGCCTGCAGGACCAAGCCGGGGATGTTTCCTTCCCACCTCCCTCCTGCACGCCTGAGGCCCTCGGCTCTGCCCGTATTTGCCATTCCCCCACGGTGCCACAGCTCCCAAGTTATTCTGTTTTCTCTGACCCACCCCGGTTTACCCTTTGGACCAACTCTGACTTATTCTCCAAAATTCAGCTCAAGCTCAGGTCTTCAGAGAGGCCCAACAGATCAGTTCCTCGCTCCCAAAGAGGACCGAGCCTCTCCCCATCACTCTGTGTGTTCTTCCATTTCATCACGGATCATCGTGCTGTTCCTATGCCTGTCTGTCTCTTCCTCCAGCCTGTGAGCTCCTTCAAAACAGGGGCTCGGGCTGATGCGCCTTTGTGTTCCAAGCACGCGGCACAGGGCCCGGCTCTGAAATGAGTTCAGTGCGCACTAATGGATCGATGCCTGGAGGGATGCATGCACTGATCTGACCCTCCTCTTTTAGAAAAACACAATCTGGTTGCCATGGTGCTAAAAGAGTGCTTTCCCTACCTGCTGTTTTCAGGATGAACGAATCACATTCAGCTGACCACACTTTGGCATCTGGCCAGCAAGATCTGCAGGATCCAACAGGATGGATGCCGGGCCAACCCTGAGATGGAAGAGACACCTTTCTCTCTCCCGGGCTGGTAAACCATAGAGTAGCATCAAAGAATTTCCTTTTTTCCCATCCCTGGAAGATTTCCAGTGCTCCTCTTTTGTTAATATCCCCTTGGCTCTCCTGCCAGGTGTCTCTCTCCTCCTCCACTGTTTTTTCCATCTCTTTATCTGCTGCTACTCTAGGACAGGGGTATACACACCATAGCTCGTGGGCTATATCTGGCCCATCACCTCTTTTTGTAAATAAAGTTTTATTGCAGCACAGCCATATCCATTTGTTTGCATACTGTCTGTGGCTGCTGGTGCTCCCCAGTGGTAGGGTTGTGACAGAGATCGTATGCCTGCAAGGGCTCAAAATATTTGCTATCTGGCCCTTTACAGAAAAAAAGTTTTCTGATCACATAAACATCCAGAATACTGTACTAGAGAATGAGCTTCATCCAATGAGAGATGACTAGGAAATAATGCAACTGACAATGAGAGGAGAAGAAAAAGAGAATAAGCTCTGATTATGATATCAGCAATGAGTGAGAGATACAAGATACTACAGTATTTATAAACCTGATAGTAAAAGCTTAAATAAGAAAATAGGAATAAGAGCATTAAAAAAGTATGCGAGTACATACAAAATAACCACGAAAATAAAATTACAAACCTTCATAAATACAATTTTCTATTTTTTTTAGAAATAGGATCTTGCTCTGTTGCCCAGGCTAGAGTGCAGTGGCATGATCAAACCTCACTGTAACCTCAAACTCCTGGGCTTGAACAATCCTCCTGCCTCAGCCTCCTCAGTAGCTGGGACTACAGGTGCATGCCACCACACCTGGCTAATTATTTTTTCATTTTTTTGTAGAGACAGGGTCTTGCTATGTTGCCCAGGCTGGTCTTTGCTCTCCTGGCCTCAAGTGATCCTCCCACCTCAGCTTCCCAAAGTGCTGGGATTACAGGCATGAGCTGCAACACCTGGCTTTCCTTTACTTTTTTAAAAATTGTATTTATGAAGGGTGTGGTCTCTACAAAAAAAATTTAAAAATTAGCTGGGCATGGTGTCTTGAGCATATAGTCCCAGCTGCTTGGGAGGCTGAAGTGGGAGGATTGCTTGAGCCCAGGAGTTTGAGGTTGCTGTGAGCCACTGTGCTCCAGTCTGGGCTACAGAATGAGACCCTGTCTCCAAAAAAAAAAAGTAAAAGAATCCATTGCATAGAGAAAGAAATACAGCAGATATAATATACATGATAATTATAAAATAATGTAACAGTAAAGACCCAATATATCAATTGTAGCAATAAATATGAGCAGACTTATAAAAAGAAAAAGATTTTCAGTTTGCCTCGAGCTCATCAGGCTTCCTGGCAGGAACTCCCAGTTGTCTCTTGAACCCATCCAGTTGGGCTCCAGTTCTCACCATTAGCTGAAACTGCCCTTGTTAGCATAATCAATGGCCTTCAAAGTTTCCATCACTCTGTCCCCAGTCTCACAGCAGCAACCGACAAAGGTGGTCACTCCCTCCCCCTCGAACACTTTCTTCACCTGACTTCTGGGATAGCCCCTGTCCTGGTTTTCTCCTCCCCGGGTACCTCTCAGCCTATTTTGCTGAATTTTTCCTCCTCTTCCTGAGCTAATCAAAGGCTGGGTTGTCCTCGGTCTCCTCATGCTTTCTCATAGTGTGTCTTCGATCACGCCCTTAGCTTTAATGGATGGGCTGATGATCCCCGAGTTTGTGTCTCAGAGCCCGAGGTCTTCCCTCACCTTTAGACTCATGTACTCAGCTGTCTACTCAGTCCCTACACCTGGGTGTAGGACAGACATTTTAACCCTGACATGTTCAAAGCCAAACCACTGATTTGTCGCCCCTGGTTTGTTTCCACGGCAGCCTTCCCCATCTCGGGACGTGGTACCACCATTCACCCGGGTGCCTTCTGGCCTCCTCTCTGGAGTTGCTCAGTGAGTCCTCTTGGCTCTAACTTGACCATCATCTGCCCCACAAGATCACCGAGGGCCCAGCCACCCTCCTCTCTGGTCTGGGCCACTCTCACAGCCTCCCTCCCTCTACATTTGCCCCTTGCCTCTGCTCGCCACACGTTGGCCAGGGGCATCATTCCAAACTGTAGATCAGACCATACCACTCCTGTTCAAAACCCTCCAATGGCTTCCCATCCACACTTGCAGGGAAATCTAACCATCTTAACATGACTTACAAAGTCCTACATGTTCTTGAGCATAGTAGCTCATGCCTGTCATCCCAGCACTTTGGGAGGCTGAAATGGGGGGATCACTTGAGGTCAGGAGTTCAAGACCAGCCTGGCCAACATGGTGAGCCCCATCTCTAAAAAATATATATATAATTTTTAAAAGAGAGAATATCAACAAAGTTGTGCATGTTCTGGCTCCTGCCTCTCCCTCTAACCTCAGCTCCGGATGCACTGGCTTCTCTCCTGTTTCCAGACACGCCAAGCACAGTCCTGTCTCAGGGCATTTCGCCATCTGGAAGAATCCTCCCTTGGGCATCCTGAGGCTCTGTGCTCTTCAGGGTGGCTTCCCTTGACCACCCTGGACAAAATAGTGTTGTCCCCTTCACTCACCCCACGCCCCCAAGCCCTGCTTCACTTTTTCATAGTATTTATCACCACTAGTCATCATGTTGTATTAAACATGTTAGTTTGTCTTTCTCTCCTCTAAAATATAAACTCTCAAATGTACCGACTGTCTTATTTATTGCTGTATTCTCAAAGTGCAGCTCAGTGCCTGAAAAATAACAAGCGCTCGATAAATAATTGTGGAATGAATGAGTGAATGACCCATGGTCCTGTAGTTGGTGACCTCTGACAGAGTGTTCCAAATTCCTGACAGATTTTAATCTTTGGGAATTGGGAATGAAACATCAAAATTTACGGGAAGTCTGGGGAGTTCCTGAAGTCCTAAATTAGTTCCAGGTTGCCTCATGGATGTTCATTTCTTTTTTAAAAAGGGAAAGATCTTGTTTGCTTTACAAGAACTGTGGGCTATAGTAAAGATTCCAACAGTGGAAAATGCCAGTGAACGTTATTAGATAGTATTTGAACGACATAATGCTGTAATCTCCTAGCAAGATTTAACTACAAGGAATCATGTGTCAGAATTGCCAATTTAAGGACTCATTTCCAAAGCCTTTCCAAAACTTGTTATTTCTGGAACATCACTCATGGGATTTTTACAAGTATAACATGCATACAAACTGATTAATATTTATGTGAGTTGCAAGAAAACTCTGAGCAGAAGTCGCGCCAGGAACACACTTACATGGTGCAGCAACTACAGGGAAGACTGGCTGATTGGGTGGTGAGTCCGTGCACTTCCGGGCAGGATTCCAGGAATGTCAGCCTTAACCTTTGACTCCGTGGATGGGCTCTTGCTTCGTTCGACTTGAGGTCAGTGCGTTCCTTCAAACCAATTATGTCTCAGCGTTTATTGCCAGGCTTGAATTCCCACAGCATTTTAGTACTTTCCCCCATGTTCCTGATTTCTCAAATGATTTTTCTTGGGATCCAGGGTTCAAGAAAATATGCATTTCCGGAGAATTGCTGGAAAGGAATTCTCACATGGAAACGCTGTCTGAAAGTGTTTAGATTTGCCTTCGTTTCAGGCAAAGGGGCACATGGCAAGCTACAGCTGAGGATCTGAAGCTGTTTTGAGGGTGAGAGAGCTTGGGAAGCAACAGTTCCAGCATTTCTCTCCCTCTCCTCAGCCTGCCGGGGCTGAGGTGTGCTGGCTAGGAAAGGGGGCGACCTGGTGGTGACCAAGACAGCCCTCACTTCTGGTCACTGTCCATGGAAAATGCCTGGTTTTGCACCATGCAGCAGTGGAAAAGGGGATTTGAGGGAAACTAGGAGAAAGCAGAATTGAATAGTTAGAACAGAAACTCTAGTGTGCAAACAGCAGTGCTTAAATACGGCAGAAATCACCAAGCATAAAGTGGAGAAATCTCACTGTAGGAAATGTGAAACTTGTGCTTTATTTTTTGAAGAATGACATTGAAAGGTAAACAATACTACGTCCTGGTTGGAAAACAATTTGGAAAAATGGGTGGACATTTTTTTACATGTTCGATATGATTTGTGTCAGTAGTGCCACTGATTGGAATTCATTCTAAGGATGTGATTCTAAACGCACAAAAGAATTTATGCAAAGAAATATTGGTTCAGACCCTCCCTCTCTCCACCCAGAACAGCCAGCGAAGGGCACATCCTCAAAGCCGGGCACAGTGGGGCCGGTCTCCCGGGATGTTGGAGGCTTGGCCCTGTGATGCAGTGAGGGAAAGGGTTAATGAGTGTGGGGAGGTAACATGATCAAATTTAAATATTAAAGAGGCAAGAACTGTATTTAAGTTTTAAGTGGATGTCATTCCTTCCTCCAGCAGGCAGTTTATCATCCTCACACCACACCCCTACACTGGTGGAAGTGTCCTTGGTGGCCAAAGCATAAATCATCTCTTATCCTTCCCCTGGAGTCACAATGGCTGTGACTCAGATTGTATCATCAGGGGTACTGAGTTCAGAACTAGGGAGGTGGTGCTCCTGCTGTCTGGTTACAATGTATGCCAAGTATATCACACCCAGCCCCAATCCCTGAACCACAGGGGGAGTTTAACAAACTGGAGCTCGTCTAGGTAAGGTGACCATCAGGAAACCAATGGGGGACTTCTGAGGGTCCCGGACCAGGTAGTTTAAAGGCGAGAAGACTGGGGGCACAAGGCTCCTGTGTGCAAGTGTCTAAAGGCAGAGGAAGCAGAGGGGGCCGTGTGGCCTTGGAGTGCAGAGCGAGGACTGGCGGGCTGAAGCTACTGGGAGGCAGATTTTTGTCCAATATAAAGAACTTTCTCTGGCACAGGCTGGGCGTAGTGGCTCATGCCTGTAATCCCAGCACTCTGGGAGGCCGAGGCAGGCGGATTGCTAGAGGTCAGGAGTTCGAAACCAGCCTGAGCAAGAGCGAGACCCCGTCTCTACTATAAATAGAAAGAAATTAACTGATCAACTAAAAATATATATACAAAAAAATTAGCCTGTTATAGTGGCGCATGCCTGTAGTCCCAGCTACTCGGGAGGCTGAGGCAGAAGGATCACTTGAGTGCAGGAGTTTGAGGTTGCTGTGAGCTAGGCTGATGCCACGGCACTCTAGCCTGGGCAATAAAGTGAGACTCTGTCTCAAAAAATAAAAAATAAAAAAAGAACTTTCTCTGGCTCAGAGTTGCCCCACGTGGACAGGAAGCCCATCCTGAGAGGAGTTCGAGAGGAGACTGAGGGATCCCCCCTCCCCAGCGCCCCAAGGTCAAGCACGGAGCAGGGACCACAACTCAAATGCCTGTGGGAGCCAGGTGAGCCATTAGCAGGAGTGGCCCAGCTAAAGCCACACAAATACAAAATTAAAACTAGCAGCAGCAACGATAAACACTGTGTAATCCAAACAAAACCCGCTGCAGAGATGGGATTCAGCCAACGCACAACCTCCGCTGTGCAAGGTGGGACAGGTGGGGGAGTGTTTTAGTTTCCTGGAGCTGCCATGACAAAGCCACATATGGCTCCTTCCGACGCCTCTAAGGGAAGCTCCTACAGCTCCTGGTAGCCCCCGGCATTCCTTGGCTTGTGGCAGCATAACTCCTACCTCGGCCTCTGTCTTCACGTGGCCATCTGCTCTCTGTGTCTATGTCCAAATTTCCCTCTTCTGATGAGGACACTAGTGCTACCGAGATAGTACAGGAGGTGGACCTTGGCTACCCGCCTGAGCCTTGAGCCAAAGCTGAAGTCTGCTTACAACACTGAGCAGAAGCTTTGAAAACGATTAACACCCAGCTTTAGTAGAAGGTAGTTCTGCTCTCTTTAACAGGACGTGGCGACCATTGGTGCAGGGGCCGGCTGGCCCCAAAGCCAGCACAAGCTGGTTACTGCCAAGATGAAGCCCAGAGTTGACCGCTCATAGACCTTTTGCCTCATTTTAATGCTAAAAATCATGCCCAACAGTGGAGATTTAACATGCTAATGAGACATGCCACGTATGAAGAAGCATGATCACCAGATGGGCAGCTGCCAACAAAACTCTACCTCTACATGCTATGATCTCAATGGCGGTGTCAAACTTTCTCCCTCCATCCTTTAGAAGTTCGCCGGCCCTTAACCAGCGTGTCTCCCTTTCGTTCGAGCAAAGCCCCACAATAAGGCCTTGCCTGTGTAAATTCCTTTTTCAGTCTCGTGCCAATTTCCATCGTCTTGGGGACCAAGAGCTGTGAGGTTGGTAACACTGCTGGATTAAGGGCCCACTCCACTCCAGTGTGAGCTCCTCTTAATTTAATTAATTACATCTGCAATGACCATTTTCAAATAAGATCACATTCTGAGGTGACCTTGTCTTTTGGGGGGACACAATTAAAATCATTACAGAGAGTCTGAGGTCCGTCCAGCTGCAGACTTGTCAACCTAGAAGTAACATCTCTCTCTGGTGAGGCTTTTTGTTTATTTGTCTGTTTTTGCCTATTTTGTCTTCCTGGCTTGAATAAGTTTCCTCTTTCCCATCAAACTGGCAAGGCCAGACGCCACTCATATTTACTGACCGACCCACCTTCTCTCTGCAGGAGAGGGATGGGGAGTCTGGGATGCCTTAGAGCTGAGAAGGGGCCTGGAGGACTTCCCTGGGGTCCCTGTGAAGGCACAGGGTCTCTTCTGCTTGGAGCCCCTTGGCTCAGAGGCTAGTTTTCTGCACCAAAGGCCTCTGAAGGCAGAGCCTGCCCGCAGCTCCCTCACAGCCAGGCCTTGCCTAGGCGTTGGTTTGTGGGTAGCTGCTCCCCTCTGCTGGCCAGAATGAAACCTGCTCTCCTTCCACTTCTTTGGGATTTTGTCTCCCTAAGTCACAAGTTCATAAACTCAGAGCAGGAGGGGGTCAGAAGTTCAGCAGGCACAGCTGCCCTCATTGTTCAGATGGGGAGACTGAGGCCAGAGAGGGGAAAGGCCTGGTTTAAGGTCACTCAGAGAGAGGAGGAGCTGGGCCTAGAAACGTACTGCCTTCCCTCCCGCAGCAGAGTCTGAGCTGGATCAAAGCCAGGCCTGGGCAGTTGAGGAAGAACTCCCTAATTGTATATCTCTCACGAGGGGAGACTCCACAGGATAAAATCTAGAGGAGGGTGTATGAAAAATTAATGTATGAACCAAAGAGCAAAGGGAATAATAAAAAGTGCTACTCATGGTCAGCAAATATGTGTTAAAGAAGGTAAGTGACCAAGTTAAGGAGGAGGTTCAACTGTTAGAAACTTCTGGAAAGGAGAACGAGAACAGCAGAGGGAAGTAGAGGCCCAGAGGCCCAGCCTCCCCTTGCCCTTCCCTGCACAAAGAGCTGTGAGAGAGAAATGCCTCCCAGGGCCTCTCACATGCCAGGGCTGAGGAAAACCTGCCCTGAGGAGCAAGTGGAGGAGGCCCAAGGCCTCCTCAGGGCCCCGAGACCTGGGCTTCTGCAGTGAAAGGGCAGCTTCTGTTCCAGGATCTGCAGAGGGCACCTCCAGGGTTGCAACACTTGAGGGCCTGAAGGAGAAATCCTCCCTACAGGCAGGTTCTACAGGCCGAGCGGTTCTCAGCCAGAAGCGCCTCGGGGCGGCATGGTGGCAAGGCCTGGCGAGGTCATGCCACTGGGCAGAGCCCACCCTCAAGGCAGCACCGGGGTTCCAGACACCCAGGGCTCAAAGGGGAAATGGGAATGGAGATTTCTGAATATGCTGGAAGGGAAGGACAGACACCTCAAATGAGGCTGCGACACAGAGACTGCTCCGTGGCAACGGCTACGTGGTGTCATGGCGTCGGACGGCTGGAGGGTCTCAGGGACAGCCCTGGGAGGAGATGATGTGGAGGGTGGATCATCCCTGAGACGGGGCAGATGGAGCTTACGTTGGCAGTTAGCTGCATGGTGGCAGATTCTGGCCAGTGCTGGTGACTGTCACAGGCTTGGCCTGACAGGTGTCTGGGGAGGCTGAAACTAAAACCATCTTGGTGGCACTTCCTCAGTCGGTACTACTGAGTCTCTGATGAACAACTTGTCTTTCTGGTGCCACCTTCTAGCAAAACCTTAGCCTGGGATTGGGCCCCCAGCCACTGAGCACTCCCAGGGAACATCACAACAGATCAAAGACTTGTGCCCACTGGAAGCGCAGGGTCTCTACAGATATATGAACCGATATTATAGAACCATCACACCCACCTGGTCTTAAGTTAAGGGGAAAAAAGCCAGCAAGATGCAATGCAATATGCTCCACACAATAATTCCTGTAGAAATATTATGTGTATGGATACAAAATGGACTTGTATTTGCTTAGAAATAGTACAAGTTGTGGACCTGGCTGATAATAGAGTTTATCTCTGGGGAATTCGATTTTCAAGGACTTTCACTTTTCCTCCATTTAGAAGTATTTTTAAATGTAGAGGTAGTTCAGGTTGTAAAACAATAGAAACAGAAGTTTAGCATGGCCCCTCTGTATAAGGATGACATGCAAATCTGTGACGTGTTCCATATTTTTAAAAAACAAAAATTTGTTCTTTCAGAGTCTGTAGGTAGACATCTGGAATCAAGGTGTCGGCAGAGCTCTGCTCTCTCTGAGACTCCAGGTGGAATCTGTCCTTGCCTCTCAGCTGCTGCTGGTGGCCGTCACGCCTTGGTGTTCCTTGGCTTGCAGCTGCATTGCTCCATCCTCACCTAGTGTTCTCCCTGCGGATCTCTGTGCCCACATATCCCTCTCCTCATAAGGACACCAGTCATATTAAATTAAGGACCCGCCCTAATGACTTTATCCTGCTGACACCTGCTAGGACCTTATTTCCAAACCAGGTTATGGTCATGAGTAGCAGGGACTGGGATTTCAATGTCCCTTTTTGGAGGACACAACTCAACCCACAACATTCTCCAGCCTCGCCTGGGCCTCCAGGTCTGGCTGCATCGTGTCCACATCTCCCCCGCAGGGTCCACCTGGCCATTCTCCACGAGGGCTCTCCCGAGCCTTCCCCGTCCTCCTCCACGCTCAGCCCTGCAGCCCTTCCCTCACGCCCAACAAGTGACTGTCCCCAGACTTCCCAGATGCCAACAGCGGGGAACTCCCTACACTTCATGCAGCGTCTGCCTCTCGCTTCATCCACCTGCCTTCCTGTTCTCCATCATCATGTTTTCCACAGCTCTAACCTATACCCAAGTTTTGGATCCCTTCCCGCCGATGCAGGGGGCCTGCTCACCTCCCTGTTTTCTCCAGATAAGGAAACAGCACCACTATTTACCCATTTGCTCAGGCTAAAAATACCTACAAGTCAATATTTATTATTTTCTTTTTCTGATTTTCCTCCCTCCGCTGACACATGTAGTCCTTCATCATGCCCTATCGAATTTTCCTACTTTATTATTTTTAGAGTTTTACCAGTATCTGGAACTATTTGTTAATCAGCTTATTTTTATATTGCCAATCTGGTCCCAAAGACTATAAGCTCCATGAAAATAGGGACCTTGTCTGTTTCGTTCACTGCTGTCCCTCCAGTGCCTAGAACAATGCCTAGCACATAATAGGTGCTTTGGAAATCTTTGTTGAATGACTACGTGATGGGTGTCAGGGCTCTTATACAACACAGAAGATTCAGGGAGGACACTACCTCACTCCTGTGACATTCACTGTTCAAATCCTAAGAGCTCCCTTAAAGGCCAACAGTTTGGTCACGTGTGTGCCAAGCTGGAACATGGGAGTCCCTGCAAAGGTTAGGGTCCCCAGCACTGGGACCTAGCCTCCCTGAGAGTACCACATGACCACTCTCCCTGAGCTCCTGCCACTGTCACTCAGGTGCTATTTGGGAACAACTTCAGGTCTCCATTTCTTCTGGGATCCACAGACCTTTGTTCTATAGATCCTGGCACTCTCTGGCTGCTTCTGCTTCTCACCCTCCAAGGCCCTGAATGGGTACCCTCCCCTCAATCACTAATTAAACAGTTAGGGCATAAGCTCTTCCCTTGACTATACCCTGGGAATCAAGGAGGGAGGGAAGGGAAACATATCTCTTTCCTCCTGCTGTTTCTATCCCAATCAAAACAAATTAAATCTTATAATAAATTACCATGCCTCAGCCATTGACATTATTCCTCAGACTTCAAGGGACCCTGCCTCCTCGCTTTAGAGGACAGAGGCTGAAACAAATCTCTGCTAAGAGAGGCAGGAGTCAAAACGTTGTTATTAGTTCAGAGCCCAGAAGGAGAGTCAAAGAGAATTAATGCAGCCAGACCATCTGGCTTGCTCACAAGCCCGGTTCACTCCTTCTGCACTTAGAGCCTTCTTCAGGGCACCTACCTGCTTTGCCCCCTGCTGTGGGTGCCTGAGCCTAAGGAAATAAGACCCAGAAAATCAAGCCTGAGTTGTCTGCTTTTCAAGTGAAGCAGTGGATGTTTTGCGGGGGAGAGTATTTGAGGCAGGCCCGCCTGCGAGGAGATTAGCTACTTCTCGCCATGGAGCCAAGTCCCTAAGATAGGGGTCGCCACAGAGGATAAGGACATTGATAGGCAACAGAGAGAAATAAAAGAATACACAGAGGCTAAGGTATAGTTTATAGTTTTATATGTATGTAAAAGGATCAGATATAACGCAGCAGGGGTACTTAGGAGATTGGCATATCTCCATAAACGCCAGCAATATGGTTAGATCCATACAGGTTTTTATAATCACATACATCAATTGCCAGTTGTCAAGGTAACATATTGGCATATCAGGGAATGCCGTTGCTAGGGGATACAGGTAGTGGGTTAGGGTCAAAAGTCCTCTCAAGGGGCTTTTAATCTATCTAGGTGAACAAACAGGTACAAAGTCTTTTAGGGGCTAACTTCTAGGTTCTAAGAGGCAGTTGTCAATTAACAAAGGTGTAACAAAAGAGGTATAGTGACTCTCTATTTCTTTGATTAGTTATGGTGGACTTAAAGGTAGACAGGAGAGAGCAGGAAACCCATCTCTGTAAAACAGGTTGTTTATAACCACCAGGGCGCATCTCTGGGCAAAGGGCACTCATTATCTCCGGCTCCCATCCTGTGGGCCATATTTGCCTTGCCTTGTCTTTCAAGACACAGGGAAGCTCACAGATTTTGAGGTACCAGGAAGCCTTCCTAGAAAACATCTCTACCGGAGGTTTGAGAGCTCTCCCATGATAGCAGCCTCTAATAAGTGAACCATTGAGTCCACGAATTCCTTCAGGGCAAAACCCTGCAAACTCCTGTTTCTGTCTTTAATATAGTAATATTGGGTTATACAATAAAATAATGATCTGATGGGCCACATCTCATTAATTCCTCAATCATATTTCTCAACAATGTTGATTGAACGACTATGTGACAGATGCCAAGGCTCTTATGCGGTATAGAAGATTCAGGGAGGACACTACCTCACTGCTAAAGCCCCAAGAAGTCCCTTGAAGGAAACTTACTTCTCAAGGAAAGGGACTGTATACCCAGTTCAGGGAAGACTCCTGTGTTAGTCGTTTATTGTTGTGGAACTAATTACCCCAAAACTTAGCAGCTTGAAAAACAACAAATATTTATTATCTCACTCTTTCTGTGGGTCAGAAATCTGGGGACAGCTTTGCTGGATGGTTCTAGATCAGGGTCTTTCAATGGGTTAGATTCAAGATGTGGGCTGGGGCTGCAGTCACCCAAAGGCCGGATGGGGCAGAAGGACCCGCTCCTGGATGGTTTACTCACATGGCTGTTGGCAAAAGGCTCCAGCTCCCTACTGGCCATTATCACTAATCATAAAAAAGCTGGAGTGGTCCTATTAACATTAGGCTAAACAGATTTAAAGATAAGAGGTATAGAGATAAAGAGGAACATTTCACAATAACAAAAGTGTCATTCATCAGGAAGGCATAACAATTATAAATGTGTATGTACCTGATAACAAATTCAAAATACATTAGCAAACATGACAGAACTAAAGAGAGACATAAACAAATCTACGGTGATGGTTAGAGATTTTAACATCTTCTCTCAGTCATTACAAAATCAGTAATGATTGTGAAAGTTGTCAGAATCAAAATGGAGTCACTTGTGTCAAACTCTAACAAAAATAAATAAATCCAGGAGGCTAAGAAAGGAGGCACTCATGCACACATGCCTGTGATAAGAACTCTTACAAAGACTCTCCAAAGAGCTCTTAAGCACATATGCCTGTAATGAGAACTTTTGCCATGGACTTTGCACACTGCAACTTGCTACACGAGTCACAAAGATAGCATCCGGATGTACAAGAACATTTGCCTGACAACAAACTGTCTCCACTAACAAACTAGCTTAAACTCCTGAAATAACTGAGCCCCCGATGTTCTCTTTGTTTCCAAAGAAATTATATGTGCTTTTCCCTTTTGCCTCTAAAAGCTTTTCTTTGCCTCAATTTCTTTGGATATGTTTATGGTCTCTGGCCTGCATATCCCAGATTTGCAAATCCCTTGCACACTCCTGAATAAACTCAATATCTTTGGAGAATCTCTCTCTGTCTGTTATTTAGGTTAATATGATACAGTCACTGAATGACACTATCAACCACCTTGATCTAATTGACACGTGTACACTACATACAACAAATGTATAATACACACTCTTAAAGTATACATGGACTGTTCACCAAGATATGCCATATGTTGGGACATAAAACAAGTTAATAAATTTCAAGAGTTTTCTTCAGGTCACATGAGAATTAAATTAGATAGCAATAGTAAAAATCCCAGGATATGTTTTAGAAAGCTCCAGATATTTGAAAATTAAATAACATTCTTCTCAATAAATAACAGGTCAAGGAAGAAATCCTAAAGGAAATTAGAAAGTATTTTGAACTAAATGAAAATGAAAACACAATGTATCTAAAATTTGGGGGTTCAACTAAAGTAATACTTAGAGGGAACTCTATAGTTTTAAATGTTTGTTTTAGAAAAGAAGAAAGGCTTAACCATAAATTATCGAAGTTTCCACCTTGAGAAGCTAAAAAAGAACAAGAGTGACAGGTACACTAAAACCCCAGATATCACCATTCTACAATTTATCCATGCAACCAAAAACTACTTGTACCCATAAACCTATCAAAATATAAATTAAAAAAAGAAGACTTCATTATTTTCCTTTTGTTGCCTTCTATTTTGAAGTGAGTTATGCCTCTTCTGTCTTACTTTTCTTGAAGAATTTGTTCTCTTTCCAATTGGCCGAAGCTAAATACTGTGTGAAAATAATAGAAGGGCCAAAGTTATACTTTCAGTTTCTGGTACTGAGGGTGTAAATAATTTAAAAATAAAATCAAAATACAATACAATACAAAAGAGCAGACCGGGTGCAGTGGCACATGCCTATAATCCTAACACATTGGGAGGCTGAGGCAGGAGGATCACCTCAGCCCAGGAGTTCGAGACCGGCCTGGGCAACATAGAGAGACCCCATCGCTACAAAAAAATTTAAAAATTAGCCGGATGTGGTGGTGCACCCCTGTAGTCCTAGCTACTCAGGAGGCTGGGCCAAGAGGATCCCTTGAGAAAGGTGAGCTGGCTTGCCCAAAGAGAAACATCTAAGTCACAGAAATGGCAACGGTGGAAAAGTGAAAACAAGGTCGGGAAACCCCAAAACAAGAGAATTATGGAGAAAGGCTTGCCTAGAGAGAAACATCTGAGTCACAGCACCAAATATGTCAGGTTCTAGTCTGAAATGTCAGTTCTTAGTGAGCTCAACTGTCCAATCAAAGTGGTTCTATGGTGATGTTTGATCCATGGGGAAGTCCCTATCTGGACACCGTAAAACAAGACCCAGACCGTGCTCATGGCTGAAGAATGACCAGATGCACCCATGCAAGGCAAGCAAGAGGTGAAGTTTACTGAGGGGGAGTAAGATGGGATTATAGAAGAAAGAACACAAGCTACTGCCTAGAGACCCTTCTTCCCCTACTTCTGGCTGTCAGCCAGGGAACTGAGTGCTCATCAAACAAGTGGAAGGATGGGTCCCCCACATCGCAGCTAGCCCCTGTGTGGAAAGGTCCCTATCCAGCCTTACTCTCTACCCCAACTGCTATTAAGGTCCCAGGCTACCTACTTGGATCCATCATTCTCGGGTAAAGCCATGGAAGGACCAAAATGAAACTCATCTGGCCCCTGCCGACTAAAGGCCTCCAACACTGGAGCCAAATACTCGCGTACTCCCTTGGAGGATCTCCAGGGCCTGTTCAAGTGGATTCCTCCTGCTGTGGCTCCTTCAGAGAAGTAGCAAAACTGTCCATGGGCAAGACACCTTTTGCCCTGGCAACCCAAACCGCCACTTTCCGCCCTTATGGGAACAGTCGCTGCTGTAGTAGCCACAGGAGGCACATCCCTGGGCCTGCAGCAGTCTGTGGCAGCAGAGACAGCATGAGCCCTGCTAAAAACTAGCCATGCACTTGCCCTCTTACAGGAACAGTTAGATTCGCTGGCGGGGGCCCCCCTAGCAAACTAACTCAATCTTCTAACTGCAGCAGGAGGGGGCACATACTTGTTCTTAAAAGAACAGTGCCGCTTCTATGTTAACAGGTCAGGACAGGTTCAGGACAACATCAGTACCATCCTAGCGTCTGCCTTCAATCTCCAGACATGAGGCAAGACCTCTAGGTCCTGGTGGATGTTCTTAATAATTCCTTTGGTCACCCCGTTACTTTGCATCCTGGGAACTCTTTTTTTTTTTGAGACAGAGTCTCACTGTTGCCTGGGCTAGAGTGCCGTGGCGTCGACCTAGCTCACAGCAACCTCAAACTCCTGGGCTCAAGCAATCTTCCTGCCTCAGCCTCCCGAGTAGCTGGGACTACAGGTGCGCACCACCACACCTGGATAATTTTTTCTGGTTTTAGTTGTTTGGCTTGATGGCCTCTAGACAGGCCAAATGTTGGCCTATGCCAAATGCCAAATGTTGACAAGGACGTGGAGCAACTAGAACTCTTACATATTGCTCGTGAGCATGTAAAATGATATAACTACATTGGAAAAAGTTGTGACATCTAATAAAACTAAATATGCATCTACCCTTCAACCCAGCAATTTCCCACGTAGGTATTTACTGAGAGAAATGAAAATATAGGTCCACAAAAAATGATGTGTAAGAATGTTCACAGCAGCATTATTCATAATAATGAATAGGAAACAACCCAAATGTCTATCAACTAGTGAACAGATTAACAAATTATAGTATATTCATACACTGGAATATTACGAAGCAATAGAAAAGATGAATTACTGATACATAAAGCAACATGGATTAATCTCTCAGACATTATACTCATTGAAAGAAGTCAGACACAGAGTACATATTACATGATTCCATTTATATGACAGTGTAGAACAGAAAAAAATCTAAGAGGAAAGAAATCAAAATAGTGATTGCCTGGTTGTAGAGCGTGGGATGACTAGGACGACATGCAAGGGAACTTG